CTAGTTTAGAATAACAGCTCTTTACATTCCTTATCAATCAACAAAAAGATACTCAGTAATAAGTAACTGAAAAGGAAGTTTTTACTTGTGCCTGCACTTGTGTTTTTAGATGTGAATCATCCTTTCAGTAGCTATAGTTAAGTCAGTTTATTTTTTAGTGTTATAGTGGAGCTATAACTTGCTTAACTTAAACTCCTAAGTTTTACTTCACAGATATATAATTTCTAATTTATCTTTTCTTGGAAATAAAACTATGCCATTAGTTAAGGGCTTTTTACTCAGTCTTTATTATGCTGTAATGGTTTTTAGCCAATTTGTATTAGAACATCACATCAAGTTTTATATTTGCTTGTTTTTGTTTCAACTGTATATAATTCATTTAACTGTAGACGGGTTTTTATGTAAACCTGTAAATAGGATACTCTTATACTATGAATAATATACATACCATACCATATGTACATACTAATGTGGAAATTGTGTTTTGAATGGTGTGTCATTTTAAGTTTCATTATTCATTAAGTCATATTTACCAATAAACTTAATAGTTTTATAACATTGTAAGAGCCTTTTCTTAGGAATGAGATAAACATGTGTTATAATCTTAAGGAACTTTTTCTATTTAGTAACTGATCAACATCAGCTGAGTTACTTGGCATACTTTTCTGGACCTATAGTCTGTCTATACCAATGTTTTTAAACATTAAACTTAAAACTCAGGGGGAAAAGGTTCTTCAACTTGAGATCTTCTCTCCAGATCTCCATTCTTTGGAGTTTCCATGAGTGTGACCTGAAGAACTTGGAACCATTGAAATTCAAATGTAGGTAGGTAAGTGTTCACACCAGCGCATGCATTGATTGCCTTATATCTCTTTGTATATGCATCTGTATTGCACCCTCTCAGTGCCTTTCTTCCTCTTCCTCCCCATAGATCATGTAGGGCCTGTGTCACCCTGATATTATGTAATTGTGTGATTCTGTATTTTGGTCAGTATTTGTCTGTGATGTGTGTCAGGAGCAATTTTAAAATGTCTTCAGATGTTTATGACGTTGTGCTGTCTAAAGACTGTCACACATAACTGTGTGCTATGTATGGGCCTGGGTTTTGTTTTTGTGAATTGTGTTTATTGAGCTCTGAATAAACTTTCCACTGGAGTTGCCGATATTCGTTGAGGGATGCAGAAAGTCTCAGTCATGCATTATTTCACTTACTCTCTCAAATGTATTTAGAGATGTGAAGTGTTTCTGGTACTAAGAATTTCTTCCACTTAGTCTTTGACTTAAAAGTTATCCTGATACCATTATGATAGCATTAATGTCAGCTACTATCCTTTGAAGTACATTCACAACATCTCTGGGCAATTAAAAAAGTGATTAAACATAATCATTTGCTTCCAGTGAAAAGAATTAATACTAATTTATTCCACACATGCAGGACTCTTATTTAGCTTTCTCCCCCCAAATATTTATTGCTAGTATACTAAGTTGTAACTGAAATAGGCAAACAGACTCAGTCATGGAATATTCTCCTAGGCTTAAGTAGAGTTTCTACTCAAGTAAGCAAAATGAGATGTTCAGGTGCTTAATTAATGTAATTTTTCTCAAAATATCTAAACACAAAAATCTAGAATTTCTAGTATGTTTTTTATTATCACATATGCCAAACACATCATTAAATTTCAGAATCTCCTGCGTTTGTTTGTTTTTGTTTTGGTCTATCTCCTATAAAAATTAGAAAATTCGTTAGCAGTGGTTCTTAAACATTTGATATCAGGACTCTTTTAGACACTTAATTACTTGAAGACTTTAAAGAACTTTTGTTTATATATACACATGTACATGAGTAATATCTATTAATATTTTACTGTATTAGAAATGAAAATAGAGACATTTTAAAAATTATTTAGTATTTTTAAAATAATAAAACCCCACTATACGTTAACATAAATAACATTTTTATGAAAAATAGCTTCAGAATTTAAAAATGCTAAATAAACATAACATTTATTTTACTGTGTGTGATGGTGAAGAATATAATGACTACTAATACAGTTTGGTGTCACTGACTGCGTTCATACTAAAGCCCCAGCAGTTTTACCTACCAATGTGTTTTCACCATCATTGCAAATGTCAATACAGTAAAAAAGGCAAATAAAACTTTGGTAAATTTATGAAAGTAGTTTTGACTTTGTGATCCTTGAAGGGTTTTGGGGCTTCTATTTTGAGAACCATGTTCTAGGATGCCTGCTTATCTTGAGAAAATTTGTATCAACCTGTTAAATGCTTTTTTCTTCTTCTTCTGGGCCTTTATTATCCAAGTCTCCTTGCTTGCAGTTGATATGAACAGACTTGAGAGTTATTTGAGCATAAATTTTGTTTTAGTTAGCATCATAGAATTAGATATTAAAGAAAGCAGCCAAGTGCTCTAAAATGAGTCTCTGCATTGGATAACTATACATTTTTCTCTTCATACCTGTGTGTGGTTTATTGTATGTGAGTATACAATTAATTTGCTCCTGGGTAGTAGTAAAATATGTTTTCATGAAGCAACATGATTTTCTTGAATTATGGCAATTCACACCATGTGCCATTGTGATAAGCTACGTTTTTTTCCTGATCTATCACAATTTCGAATATTATTGCTCCAATTTGTATGCCAAAGATTGTATGAAACTCTGAAACATTTCTTAACTTTTTGTCCACTCTTTTTTCTGGAACCAAAATTCGTAATATTGTAAAAGTGGTCCAAGAAAGTTGTAGAGATGCCAAGTTAGGAGACCATTAACATCATCTTCTAAGTGGCATTCTCCTGTTGAGTTATCTCCTTTGTAAAATTTGTTATTCTTCTGATGTCCCTGGACTGTGGGATTTTTATAGTTTGTACCAACAGTACTGAGGGGGTGTGTGATGCCTACATATGTGCAGATACATAGTGGAGTTTGACTCACACTCAATGCATGCGCTAGTGCTCACGCTTACATACTTGAAATTTAATGATTCAGCAGCTCTGCGGTATTTGAAGAGGTAGTCAAAATGACTAAATAAATAATTGAAAGTTTAAAATACTGCTAAAGAACAAGAATCTGCAGGTGACTCAATAATAAGGAACTCTATCTACTGGTAAGTAATCCACGTAATTTCTAACTTGGAAAGCTTCTCTGTGCACCGAGCCTCTAGTATGGGTATAATACTGTATCCTATAACATAAGTAAGTTGCCTGTAAGATGCATATTGTGAATCATTTATTAATTGCTGAATTGTATAGTTAGGAAAAATATTGAACATCAAAAGCCTAAAAACGAATCATTTAGTTGAATATATTATTTCTGTGTCTTTTTAGAACAGTCTTCATAATTCTATTACAAAATTTGAAATTGTTTTAGACTATTTGAACTCAAAATGTAAACTTCCTTTTTTTCCCTCAGGCCTGTTTTCTATTCTTGTTTTGGTAATAGGCCCCTTTCTAGTATAGATAGGTTCCCACAACTGAATGAGAGAATATTCGTAATTATCCACTCATCAGTTTTCAGGGCCATCAGCCTCTGTTGGCTATCTCTTTTTTTTTTTTTTAATTATTTTTTTGATTTTTTTACAGAGAGGAAGGGAGAGAGGGATAGAGAGTTAGAAACATCCATGAGAGAGAAACATCGATCAGCTGCCTCCTGCACACTCCCCACTGGGGATGTGCCCGCAACCAAGGTACATGCCCTTGACCAGAATTGAACCTGGGACCTTTCAGTCCGCTGTGTTGGCTATCTCTTCATACTTTCTAACGGCAGGAAAAATTAACTGTAAAGACCACCAGGTGAATAATCAATTGGCATGTGATACAGCTCAACCCTGTCTTTATGTTCTTTTCTGGTAATCACTCAACTACCTCCTTATCAATAGGTTAAAAATTATATAGAAATTAGTAGGCAAACTCTGCCAAGGGAAGCATGCTATGAGGAAAATTTGTATTGTAAAAAACAGATTTTTATCTTTAGATTCCCAGTAGGTAACTTACTAGAATTTGGAGAAAATTATTAGCTTGAAAATGGCACATAATTTTTAAAGAAAAAAATGGATAACATCCTGTATCTTTGGATGAACCACTTATTAACAAGTAACTTTATGTTTTGCATAGACATGTGAGTGTTTATGTCTTCTTATCTTATTCAGTACTTTGGGTTGGCATTTTGGTTTATTTACTTTCAACTTTATTACAGGTATTCTATTGTTAATGAAGAAGCATTGTGGAAATCCAAGTCATATTAAGTACTTTAAATCCAGTTAGTTTCTTAGAATGTGAAGACAAGCAGTGATGGCAAAGCCATACTGACCTCATTCTCATTCTCTTCACCTCTCAAGCTAAATTTTTCTTTCTTTGCTGATTGTTATTATTATTAAATACCAATTTGAGAAGAAAAATATTTTAAGTAACCCTTTCTTTCCTTGTTGAAACTACTTTTCATCCTAGCAGTCATTGAAGAATGCTCTGCTGGAATTAAACAAAAATTTTTGTGAATTACATGTTTATACTTTTTATTCTTTATTAAGTGATTCTAATTGTCTTCTCTCTTCATCTTTATTAAAACTTGCTTTTTAAAATGCTTTTTATATACTCTGATTTCCTGTAATGCAAATATTACTCAGTCTAACCTTTTTATTTAAAAAACAATGGTAATGTTTATTCACTTATACATCTTTAAAGCCTACTTTGTAAAGGTATAAGAGCCTGTTTTTTTCTTAAAAAACAAAAACAAAAAACAACAACAACTAATGTTTGACATATTTCAATTATTTGTATTTCTAAATTTCTTTTAATTATTGAAAAGATTCAAGACTCAATTCTTCTGAACTAATGTCTTTAAATTTTCAATACAATTATATGAATGGACTTAATCTTGTTTTACTGTCATTGAAATAGTATTGAGTTTGCAATAAAGAGAATAAGAGGTATTTTTCTTCTTACTAATGTCCATTTGGTACAAAAACACTTTTTTTGTTTGATTTTGCAGATTCCCTTCAGGCCCAGCTTATCAATATGGGTGTTATTCCTACCTTAGTGACATTACTGGGCATCCACTACCAAAATGCAGCTCTTACAGAAATGTGTCTCATAGCATTTGGCAATTTAGCAGAACTTGGTAAGTCTTGTTCATGAATCACTAATGTAATCAACTTATTAATGTACTTAATTTTTTCTTTAATTATTAACAACATGGAAATCCATTGAGATTAGTTTATTTCCTTGAAGCATTATAGATATTTGCTTCAATGTTAAAGAAATGCAGATCCAATTATATCTTATAATTGTATTATTTAAAATTGAGAGCTATTTTGCTTTCCTAATTGTTTCATACATTGAGGTTTAAGTGTTATTTATTTAATAGAGTTGAACATTTAAAATGATCTCCCTTGACTTTAGTATGTTTACATGAGTGATCATCTTAAAATCAAGTAATTGTATTTCTAGGGCAAAAAGAAAGGACTTCATAATTTATTACATTTTCAGATGAAAAGGAATCTATCAGACTGTGGTCCTTCCTCCTCTTTTTACAAAGTCCCTAAAAATGGTAGGACACTTTTTCAAAAGAATATATTTGTAATAGAATAGAAAAATTATGAGAACTCCTTGAAAATCAGAAGACAGGCAAAAACAGACCAATGCTGGAAATAGTCCAGTCATAGCAGAGAAGAGGACTAATGACCCCAGCAGTCCGATCTCTTTTCTTTGTTTTATTTTTCTCTATATCATATATAGTACTCTTTTCTCCTTCCTTCCCATGATAGAAAGTTATAACTCCTCGTCTGAATTTACTGCACAACTATGTTCATAAATTATTTATTCTGGAGACAATGAAACCAAATGATGTTTTGTCATAGATAAATGTAATAGCTAGAACAAAAAAAAAATCTATTATTTATCCCCATTTTATAAATAAACTAGAGGCCTGGTACACGAAATTCGTGCACAAGGGTGGGTGTGGGTGTGGGGGCCTCAGCCCAGCCTGCACCCTCTTGTAATCCAGGACCCCTTGGACATCCCTCTCACAATCCAAGACTCCTGGCTCCTAACCGATCACCTTCTTGCCTGCCTGATCACCCCTAACCACTCTGCATGCCTGCCTCATTGCCCCTATCCACTCGCCTGCCTGCCTCATTGCCCCTAACCACTCGCCTGCCTGCCTCATTGCCCCTAACTGCTTGCCTGCCTTCCTGATTGCCCCTAACTGCTCTGAATGTCTGCCTGATCACTCCTAACTGCTCGCCTGCCTGCCTGCCTATTCGCCTCTCTAACTGCCTCTGCCTTGGCCCCTGCTGCTGCAGCTTCGTCCAGAATGACATCTGGAAGGTTGTTTGGCCTAATTAGCATATTATGCTTTTATTATTATAGATTATTATAGATAAACAGAAGCACCAGAACTCTAAACTTGGATTTTCTAACTGAAAGTTTATGTCCTAACACACTACTTACTAAAACCTTGATTTCAGTACTTTACTTTTGCTTTAAAAAGTTAAAAGAATAGAGATTATCACAGTTAATTTTAAAAGTCATTCTTTTTCAGTGGGTAATCTGCTGGTATTTGTGAATCTTTCTTCTCCCCTCTGTTTTTCTTCTTATACTGTCTCATTATTTCCATTATTAAGTAAGACTAAGAATGAAAGAACATTTATTTGCTTTTCACAAGTTATTATTTTCCATTATTAAAATGGAATGTGAGAGTTTGTGTTCAGTATAGTTTATAGAAATAAAACAAATTGTGTTATAATCCCTGATACTGTAAAATCTGTAATGGAAACAAACAACATTTAAAATGAATTGCCTGTGTTAAGGTACCAGAAGTTGTTTGGGAAGTTATATAGACCACCTAAATTTCCCTGGTCTATAGTAAAAAATGGATATGCACCAATTTAGTTCAGCCTAGTTTCATACTCTGTTCCCAGCTGTTACTGCTCTTATCCCATTTTTTCCCCTTTATGTTCTAAGATTTTTAGAGTTTATATCATGAGTCTTGTGCCCATGTAATAGCTAGGTTATACATCACCACCAAAGTAGAGCATGTATGCCTCAGAATACTTTTTCTCTTTTCAGTGGTCTTACTGGAGCCCATGAGTTAACAAATCATGTAGTAGTATTTTTATTGACACAACTAAGTATCAAATTCATATCACATTCCTGGTAGTATGAGTATGGGATACTATTATACTCTCATAAAACTAAAGTACATAATTTTCTAGATTAGGAGGGTCTGTCAGATGCCTTGCCTAATAGATGAAAATAGGCCCAGACCATAGCATATCAATGAGAAGTTTTAGGATAATGGAGAAAAGAGAACATCTTACAGGATTGTATACAAAAGACTGTGAATCTGTACCCATCAATTATCTCAAAACAACACTGGCAGCCAGAAGAAAATGGAGTTATAATAAAGACATTGTCAAACATGAACATCTCAGAAAATTTATATACTTCATAACTTTCCTCTGGAAACTGCTGTAAGATGTGTTCCACCTTTACAAGGTATTTAAGTTACGAAAGAAGACAACATAGGAATCTGGATACAAGAGATCCAACAGAAAACAGAAATTCCTGGTAGTATGGTGACATGAGAACCCCAAATGGTCTGTGTTCAAAGAGCAACCAGTCCAGATTGGAACAAATCAGAAGGCTGCTGGCATCAGAGTTGGGGAAATTCATATAGGACATGAAATTGACCGAATGCCTAAAGTGAATGGGCTCAGTAAGAGATGATTAGACACTGATGGAGAGTTTAGAGTTAAATTAATGATAAGAACTTAGAAAAATAAGCAAATTAGAAAACAATAATTGCAGGGGAAATGAAATAGTATATTATTTTTTTTTCTTTTTTTTTTTTATTGCTTAAAGTATTACAAAGGGTATTACATATGTGTCCTTTTTTTCCCCGCCCTTGACAATTCCCCGGCTTCCCCTACCCCCCAGTGTCTTATGTCCATTGGTTATGCTCATATGCATGCATAAAGTAGTGAACAGCAGAGCTAGGATTCAGAACACCCAACCTTCTGCTTTCAGAGTCAGAGATCTTAACTTCCCATTGAATCATTTCTCTGAAGCAAGTCTAAGAGGTCAGGTGGAGGAGTCTTCACCCTCCTCTCTCTCCTCTCTCTGCTCCAGGTCCCACCACCAGAAATTATACCATGTAAAAACAACTTCATAATAATAACAGAAATAATAACTCCCGCCGAACCGGTTTGGTTCAGTGGCTAGAGCATCGGCCTGTGGACTGAAGAGTCCCAGGTTCAATTCCGGTCAAGGGCATGTACCTTGGTTTCCGGCACATCCCCAGTGGAGGGTGTGCAGGAGGCAGCTGATTGATGGTTCTCTCTCATCCATGTTTCTGATTTTTTATCCCTCTCCCTTCCTCTCAGTAAAAAATCAATAAAAATATATTTAAAAAAAATAAAACCTTACCTAATTGCTGTCTCAACCTCTACCAGAAACATAATCAACATTTCTGGAATTTTTCTGATCAGTATCATTGAGATAATCTGTTAAGTGGGCCCTCTCCAAACACCCCACCCCCACTTCCAAAGAAGAGGGGATCTGCATGATAAAAACCCTCGTGGTCTTCCTTACCTCTAGAAAAAGAAGTCCTGGTGTGAAGATAATCCTTTCTTTCCTTTGTTAATAGGTCCCTTGCCCCACTTCCCTTTCTTAAAAAACCTCCTCCATTTTGTACCTACCCCTCGGACCTCCCTTCTGCTTCCTCCTCTTTTTACAAAGTCCCTAAAAATGGTAGGACACTTTTTCAAAAGAATATATTTGTAATAGAATAGAAAAATTATGAGAACTCCTTGAAAATCAGAAGACAGGCAAAAACAGACCAATGCTGGAAATAGTCCAGTCATAGCAGAGAAGAGGACTAATGACCCCAGCAGTCCGATCTCTTTTCTTTGTTTTATTTTTCTCTATATCATATATAGTACTCTTTTCTCCTTCCTTCCCATGATAGAAAGTTATAACTCCTCGTCTGAATTTACTGCACAACTATGTTCATAAATTATTTATTCTGGAGACAATGAAACCAAATGATGTTTTGTCATAGATAAATGTAATAGCTAGAACAAAAAAAAAATCTATTATTTATCCCCATTTTATAAATAAACTAGAGGCCTGGTACACGAAATTCGTGCACAAGGGTGGGTGTGGGTGTGGGGGCCTCAGCCCAGCCTGCACCCTCTTGTAATCCAGGACCCCTTGGACATCCCTCTCACAATCCAAGACTCCTGGCTCCTAACCGATCACCTTCTTGCCTGCCTGATCACCCCTAACCACTCTGCATGCCTGCCTCATTGCCCCTATCCACTCGCCTGCCTGCCTCATTGCCCCTAACCACTCGCCTGCCTGCCTCATTGCCCCTAACTGCTTGCCTGCCTTCCTGATTGCCCCTAACTGCTCTGAATGTCTGCCTGATCACTCCTAACTGCTCGCCTGCCTGCCTGCCTATTCGCCTCTCTAACTGCCTCTGCCTTGGCCCCTGCTGCTGCAGCTTCGTCCAGAATGACATCTGGAAGGTTGTTTGGCCTAATTAGCATATTATGCTTTTATTATTATAGATTATTATAGATAAACAGAAGCACCAGAACTCTAAACTTGGATTTTCTAACTGAAAGTTTATGTCCTAACACACTACTTACTAAAACCTTGATTTCAGTACTTTACTTTTGCTTTAAAAAGTTAAAAGAATAGAGATTATCACAGTTAATTTTAAAAGTCATTCTTTTTCAGTGGGTAATCTGCTGGTATTTGTGAATCTTTCTTCTCCCCTCTGTTTTTCTTCTTATACTGTCTCATTATTTCCATTATTAAGTAAGACTAAGAATGAAAGAACATTTATTTGCTTTTCACAAGTTATTATTTTCCATTATTAAAATGGAATGTGAGAGTTTGTGTTCAGTATAGTTTATAGAAATAAAACAAATTGTGTTATAATCCCTGATACTGTAAAATCTGTAATGGAAACAAACAACATTTAAAATGAATTGCCTGTGTTAAGGTACCAGAAGTTGTTTGGGAAGTTATATAGACCACCTAAATTTCCCTGGTCTATAGTAAAAAATGGATATGCACCAATTTAGTTCAGCCTAGTTTCATACTCTGTTC